GGCAACGGCAGCAGCAGCAGCAGCGTTTGCTGCTGCTGCAGCTTCCACTGCTGCTGCTGCTGCATGCACTAGCAGCAGCAAAACTGTTTTTAAGTTTATTTCATATTTGTTTTTCTCCTGCCACAGCGCGAGTTGCTGCTGCAGCTGCAGGACTGGGGCCCTAGGGTTTAGGGTTTAGGGTTTACGAAATGACAGACGACGAGTTTCCCCTTGAGGGGAGCCTAGACGAGTTAATTAACACTCCTACTTTAAAATGGATCTTTGTGGGTAAGGCTGAGGGTTTAGGGTTTAGGGTTTAGGGTTTCGGCTCCGAACCTTAGAGGTTCAGGTTCAGCGTTTACCCTTTGGGGCTGTCGGCGTACCATTTAGGGTATAGGGTTTAGGGTTTAGGGTTTAGGGTTTAGGGTTGAAGTTACTGCTTGAGTTATCGGTGCCAAGGATGTTGCCGTATAGGCGTGGGAGTAGGGTTTCATGGCTAGGGTTCAGGGTTTAGGGTTTAGGGTTTAGGGTTTTGTGCTGCAGGGGGAAAAGGCGGCGTCGGCAAGACAACCACAAGCTGCGCCATAGCGACGAAGCTTGCAGAGAAGAGAGAATCAGTAAGTCAGGGTTTAGGGTTTAGGGTTTAGGGTTTAGGGTTTGAGGTTAGGGTTGAGGGTTTAGGGTTTAGGGTTTGGAACGCGGAAAGCGTGCTGCGACGCGTACGCAGCTGCTCACAGCATTTGGCCTGCTGCCGCAGCAGGCCTTACAGTCTCGGGTTTAGGGTTTGGGGTTTAGGGTTTCGGGGTGAGGGTTTGGGGTTTTGGGATTAGGGTTTAGGGTTTAGGGTTTAGGGTTTGCAGGTGCTGCTGCTGTCCACTGACCCCGCCCACAACCTCAGCGACGCCCTCACCCAAAAGTTCAGCAGCACTCCAACCCTAGTTAAGGGTTTTAGCAATCTCTACGCCATGGTAAACCCTAAACCCTAAACCCTAAACCCTAAGCCCTAGGCCCTAAACCCTAGGGAGGCTACAGGGGCACCACAGAGGCTGCGCATTTTGCTCCAGAAACCCTAAACCCTAAACCCTCAAACGGGGCTTCTTGGATAGAAACCCTCAGCAGCAGCGCCCGTAAACCCTAAACCCTAAACCCTCACCCACAGCTTAGTCTCTAAACCCTAAACCCTCAACTGCGGCCCCACACCCTAAACCCTAAAGTCGTAGAACAACCTGTGAGGGTTTGGCTTCGGGACGCCAGGTGTCGCTGGAGCGTTTGCGTTTCGCCGTAAACCGTGACCTCCAAACCCTAAACCCTAAACCCTAATTTGTGGTTTAGGAAATCGACTCGAAACCCCACGAAGCCACGGAGTTCAATTTAAATGCTTCAAAAGAGGCAAATGACTTCGCCAAATTTCTTCCGGAAATTATCCACGCGGTTCCCGGCATTGACGAGGCCCTTTCTTTCGCCGAATTGATGCAGTAGGGTTTAGGGTTTAGGGTTTAGGGTTTAGGGTTTGGGGTTTAAGGTTTGGGGTTTAGGGTTTGGGGTTTAGGGTTTTGGGTTTCATCGGTGGGAGCGCATCACCTCCGAGACCCCAGAGCCAAGATAGACCCCGGAGCCACACACCTTCACCCCTTCCCCCAAACCCTAAACCCTAAACCCTAAACCCTAATTGGTGGTTTGCGCGTATTTCTGCGAATCCGGCGAGTTTTTCTGCGGCTTTTCGTGGGGTCTGCTGCGTTCGGCGTGGGCCTTGCTGCTGCGCGTTAAACCCTAAACCCTAAACCCTAAATGGTGGTTTGCTGCAGGTCTGTGCAGACGATGAGTTTTTCCGCAATAGTGTTTGACACTGCGCCCACTGGCCACACGCTGCGGCTGCTAGGGTTTCCAGATCTGCTAGAAAAGGGTTTAGGAAAAGCTGCTGAACTTGCTGCTCAACTTGGAGGCGCGCTGCAGCTCTTCGGTGCTGCTGCTGGCAGCAACCACAGCCCAGAAGCAGTCCGCTGCTGCTGCTGCTGCTGCTGCTGCTGCTGCTGCTGATTGTGCTGCTG